TTTTACCAAACCTTAGGTTGGATATCTTCTCGATCGCGTGACGTAAGTTCAGGACCTAATCTGAGGCTTGCAGGCGCGCTGTATCTCGTATAACTCAATATTTTAAATGCTTTATATTTAGCTTATATTTAACTTAAAGCATTGTTTGTTATTCCCGCAAGCTGTGAAAGCTGTTTCATCTGTTATGCGAGTTATGTAAATTATTAAGGCTTACTAAGGCTGTGACTACTGAACTAATAAAAAGTTTACTTTTCTTCTGTTGGTGTTACTTTACTGGGAAATTTAGATGGAGTGATAAGTCTACTCTCTTTCCGGAGCCAGAATTGATGTTTAAAGCAATTAGGTTTTCTGCACAACTTTTACTAAAAATATAACGTGACTATAATTATTCTAGTCAAGGTTATCGTTTATTTGGTAAACATGAAAGAAAATATTAATTTTCTAAGAATGAGTGTACTTGGCTGCTGGTTGGAAGCAAGTGACTAAGACTGTGTTCACTTGGCTGCTGGTTGTTTGCACTTGACTACTGGTTGGAAGCAAATGACTAAGACGGTGTTCACTTGGCTAATAGTTGAAAGAGAGTGAGTAAGACTGTGTTCATTTGACTACTGGATGTTACTTGGTTACTGACTGGAAGCAAGTGATTAAGACTGGGTTCGGTTGGAAGCGTGTGACTTCCAACCGATGTTCACCTGGCTACTAGTTGAATGCAAGTAACTAAGACTGCGTGTGCTTGACTAGTGGTTGGAAGCGTACGACTGTTTACTTGGCTACTAATTGGAATCATGTGACTACGACTGTGTTCACTTGGCTAATGGTTGGAAGCATGTGACTGTGTGGTGTCCGCTGATAACATCGCGGCAAAAACATCGCGGACGAAAACGTCGCGGATAAAACAACGCAAGGCGAAAACGTCGCGCTACAAAATATCGTGGGAGAAAACATCGCAAAGAGAAAGCATCGCAGTCCTAAAACATCGTGGTACAAAAAACATCGTCGTCGAAAATAAAGCGGTTCAAAAACTTCGCAGTTTAAGAACGTCGTCGTCGAAAATATGGTGGTAAAAAATAAAGTATCTGCAAATCATTGCATGACGATAACATTGCAGACATGCTTTTCGCAAACATGCTTTAATAACTGTAAATGAATATTCCCATAATAATTTGTGAGCGCAAGATGTAAAGAAGGATAATTTTTACTTTCACATTTTTTATTAACTAATAAATTTTTGCTGAAAATGTGAGCAGGAAACTTAAGCATAGAAAATTAAATGCAACGTATAGCTTATACTTTACATGAAAAATTACCAGTAAAACTTTATAAAAAATGATTTATTAATGGCCTTTGTTAGTTAACTATGCTGGTTTAAAATTCTGTTAATTGCTATAAGTTGCATTAATTTGCTATGCATAAGTTTCCTTCTTACCTTTTCAGAAAAAAATTATTAGTTAATAAAAAAATGTGAAAGTAAAAATTATCCTTTTTTCCATCTTGCGCTCACAAATCATTATGGGAATATCCATTTACAGTTATTAAAGTATGTTTGCGAAAAGCATGTATGAAAAAAGCCTGTCTGCGATGTTATCGTCATGCGATGATTTGCAGATACTTTATTTTTTACCACCATATTTTCGACGACGATGTTTTTAAACTGCGAAGTTTTTGAACCGCTTTATTTTCGACGACGATGTTTTGTACCACGATGTTTTCTCTTTGCGATGTTTTCTCCCACGATGTTTTGTAGCACGACGTTTTCGCCTTGCGTTGTTTTCTCCGCGACGTTTTCGTCCGCGATGTTTTCGGCTGTAACCGACTGTGTTCACTTGGCTACTGGTTGGAATCATGTGACTGTGTTCACTTAACTAATGGTTATACGAAAATGAATAAGACTTGTGTTCACTTGACTAGTGATTAGAAGAAAATAACTAAGACTGTGTTCACTTGGCTAGTGGTTGGAAGAAATTGACTGTGTTCACTTGTCTATTGGTTGTTCATTTGGCTACCGGTTGAAAGCAAATGACTTAAGATTGTGTTCACTTGCTTACTCGCGTGAAGCAAATGACAAAGATTGTGTTCACTTGGCTATTGTTTGTTCATTTGGCTATTAATTGGTAAGTAAGTAATGAGTAAGACTGTGTTCACTTGGCTCTGGTTGGAATGTGAATACAGTCTTACACTTGTTCACGTTCAAGATGCAGGAATTTCGTGGAAGAAAAATTTTGATAATTATATAAGAAGTAAAAGCTGTTTTTCTTTTCATAAATCATGTTTTATTCAGTTATCCTAAATCATTTTATATTTTTAAAGATTTTATAATAATTACATTACTTTTTACCTTGATCAAAAAAAGCATAATTATTTAGAGAAGAAAAATTTAAAAAGCGAGGTTTTATACATTCTGTGATAATTTTTATCGTCCTCTTGAATATGTTAGCATATGGCAAATGTCCTTTAAAATTTTTCATTGATAATTTTACAGCTAGTAGACAACTTATTAAATTATTCCATACAGTTAAAGCAGCGGGCGCCATTAGAAGATTTATCATATTGAGACACTCATGTTTTATGTAACTATGCCCTAGGCAAGCAAAGTACACACTTCTTCCCCAACTCTAGATGTGAAAAAAGCTTCTAACTCATGGTTTTCCATTGATCAAAATTATTAGTTATCAACATACTTCAATATTTGTAACTTTTGTGGAAATAATATAACTCCTGTTCGGTACCCTACACTAATCCACTGTGAAGGACAAACGTTTTCAATGTATATTATGGCAATGGTCTCAAACTCAAATTGCATGCGGATCAAATGCACGATTTAAAAGCAGTTTACGGGCCAGAACATATGTTAACAAAATTTAAAAGCATTTTTAACAAAATAAATAAATAAATAAAAACTAAATTTTAAACTTCACTTACTGAATACTTATCAAACACATATAAATAATACTAATAATAACAGTAAGGAAAAATTCCAATTTATATTTATTTTCTGTCTGAAGTCAACCGGTAGACCGGTAGTTCTGTCTGAAGTCTGAACACTGAACCTGCAAGAAATTTCTATTGGTTATACTTTGTAATTCCAATGTACTGATCGTTAAATGTTAAGGCTCTACTCTTATATGCGCCCTAAGGATGCCAAATGCGGCGATATGTGTTGTGCGCTGGTTTTTGGCGCGATTGCGTGCTCTGTTCTGCGATGGTTTGGGTTGCGATGTTGGTTTCTGAGGCAATCCGTTTTACGTGGAACTTGGATTTGCTAGTTGGTTCGTGTGGTAATTAAGTGATTTATGACGTGTTGGCAAAATTTTACAGGTAGCTGGAAATTCTACTTATAATCGGAAATGCGATTTAAAGTTTTATTTGGTGGTTTATATATTTTTTCATCGTTGTTCTGAAACGGGAGAAGGTGTTTTTAACAAATTTGTGGTGAAATTGTTTTGGTGATGTTTGAAATTGATATTTCTGCTGCTCGAAAAAGAATTTATTTATGGTAAGTGCATTTTGTTTTATTTTTGTTCTTATTTAGTAGAATGTTATGTTCATTGTTTTTGTAGTATGAATTTCTGCCGTTATTGTTTTTTTTAATTGCTTGAAATTTATTTTAGTTTTTTTTAGTTTATTTTGTTGATTAATCCGCAATGCGTCGATTGTGCAATTCGTAGATGTTTTTTAAAGTTTAACTAGAACGCTGTGTACACGATATTCTTGAAATTTATTGTTGTTACGTTAATTTATTAAAGCGAGGTGTGCGTAGTTCGTAGATTCCTTCGCTGCCTAGATTATGCATTTCGTAGATGCTTTTTTAAGTTTAAACAGAAAGCTGTGTATATGGTATTCTTTGAAATTTATTGTTGTTATGATAATTTATTCAAGCTAGGTGTGCGTAGTTCGTAGATTCCTTCGCTGCATAAATTGTGCATTTCTGTGATATATATCACTGTGTACGTAATATATCACTGTGTACGTCGATTCTTGTCGAATATTTTTGGTTAGAAACTTTGCTATCTAAATTTTTTGTTTTTGTTTCGGATTTTTAGCTTAAATTGTGTGTTCAAATCGTGATTTTTTGAACGTGCGAAAATCGCGTTTTTGCAGACATTTTAGGCTAAAAGTTCGAAATGTAGACAAAAAATTTAGAAATTTGTCGTCGCATTTGGCGACCTGAGGGCGCATATAAGAGTAACTCCAATTTTAAACTGACATTTATTGCATGGTAATTCCAGTATGCTGATTTAACTCCTAACTAACTTGTTTTTAACCAGAAACCAACAGTTTCAGAATACTGAAGCGACTCCAGCAGTCGGCTGCCAAGCTAAATGTGTACGCAGAAATTGTGAGAAATTTTCCTACCTGACTATAATAGTCACACTGCCTGGCGCACAAGGTGTTGGTGTATTTAATTATGGCAAAGCACACTAGGGCTATCTGCCTTAGGGGAGGGTTGTCTTCGTGGAGGACTTTCTAAGGGAAACTGGTTCGTACACACGTTACACATGGGGAAAACCACGAAAACACCCATGCAGCCAGCCCGTTCGCGGGATTCGAACCTCGGACCGAATTACCAGTGTTCAGCGACTTTACCGCTCGGCCGCTGGTGGGCTCCTTGGCGCACAAGCACAGAGTGATTAAGAAAAAGCCCGCAACACATTTGCAACAAACACTTAATTAAAATGCATTCGCGGCTTGCATAAAATTGCGTCGGAGGCCATGAGTTTGAGACCACAGTCTTATGGAATAATAAGAACTAAATACTTTAAAGTCTTCATGACATTTTGTGATTTGTTTACATCTGTTTGTAACATCATCTGTTTGTAAAAGATATCTATTTGTCTGTTCATCGCGTTAGCCACGAAATGTTTGACTGAATTAAAATGTGAACTTGCTTAGATACCGGACTTTCAGAATCTCGATTTAAATGACTTTTAAGTTCATTTTCAACTAATAAAAATATTATAATAAATAGTAAGGCAACAACACAGTAAATGAAGACACCAACAGAACTTAATGAGAAAATTCTTTACAGTACATGTCGAATGTGATTTGCATATGTACAGTTAACCTGAATCAGAGTATCAACAAACAAAAATAAGAAAATGCATCGTTCTCCCAACAAAATTTGGTTGGTTTGTTGTTGTAGATCGTTCAGGATGATAGAGTCGAGTCATTGTCACTATCAGGTGGAGTTCACGGATCCAAGACCCGTTTTATTGCTGGCTGCATTAAAGGTCCTGTTTCCTTATTTTAAATTTATTTTTCTTTTTTCCAGACAGCTTGTGCAGCATAGGGGAGAAGATGGGATGGCTGTTGAGGAGGCTTATGGCACTGCCGATGCTGACTGATTTGTATTCACTCCACCAGGCGAAGTAGTCTGAGTGATTGTTGTTGACCTCCCAAACGAAGTGAATCCTCAGAAAGATGTCCTAGTAGATATATGCACCAAGAAGTCCATGAAATGATGCAAGGGAGGAAATTCGGATTTTTAAGTATCTGGCGGACGCACATCACAGATGCATTCAGTTCATTTCTAATAATAATTAACCTTTGATTAGCTCCCTTTAGGAAAAGGGCATAGATTATGTATGCGAAACAAACAAAAAGAAACGTGTGCAACAAGTGGAAACTAAACTTCGCTATATATACTTATGTTCATTTTCTTGAGGATGACATCACAAGTCCATAAAACGGCTTGAAATAGTAATAGTGGTAATAGTTAGGGGGTTTGGCAAACGAGTTTATAAATCTGCGAGTTGAGCATGAGATTTATCATACTTGTTCACTTGTTAGGGAGTTATGTACGAACGCGCTGTCTCCTCTGGTTACACTTTGATGGCCGAGTTGACCCTCATTTTGGTCTTCCGCACCCCCGCCGGACTGACGGTCCCTTTGAGCATTTTGATACAGTCCTGTTCACAGAGTACGCTGCCATTGACCAAGTTGTAGCGGTCTCCGGGCACAAGCTGATTGTGGCATTTGACGCAGGTGAAACACTTGAGATGATACACATTTCCCTGTGTCCTCATCACGAATTCACTCGCTGGGATCATCTGGCCGCAACCACTGCACGCTCCACCGCTCCCAAATAACCTGAAAAACAGAAGATGAAGTTTGAGTTAACAAAAGCCAAAATGAAATTTTACGTTGCAATAATATAACTAACTATACACATGATGTAAAGACCTATGTAAGTGCAAATTTTTAGGAATTCGGAATTATCATAACAATTCACCATATTTCGGCTTATATCACATACACGTGTTCTCCGAAATTTATTCAATCCATTTTGAATAAACAGAACTTAAAATTTTCTAATTAACTTCGTTCTTTGTATTTTAATTATCTTACAGTGCAGGAAAATTGGTTGGTTGGTAAATTGATTTAGAAAAAGCATGCAAGGGCTATCTATCAAAACTAGGGATTCTCAACCAGAGGTGAATTCCTCTTTAAGGGAATATTTCTTTAGCTTTTAAGTGCTTAGCTTATGAAAATTAAAAAAAATAATAAAAAATAAAGAAAACAACTACTTTTATTTAAGTTTTGGTATTTATCAATATTTTCTACACTTTTGTTGTTTAATTTATAAAACATGTTTAAAATAATCTAAATAGAAATAAATGTACACATCTATTTTTCGATTTTTGGAAAAGAAGAAAGAGGGAATGATCTTCTAGTAGTGGTGAAAGGGGTATAGCAAAACAGCATATGCCTAAGCGAAACGAGGACTTTGTAGGGGAATTATATTTATGCTGCACATGGAAATAATTGTGGCATTTTATTGCAAATGGGAATAATTATGAAAATACCAAGTAGCCAGGCATCAAACTATCACGTTTGAACAACCTCAGCCTCTATCACGGGAGGAAACAATAGTAGAGGAATATAAATAACAGCAATATACATATTGTTTCAAACCAAATCTTCAAAACGTATACATTAGTTAGAACAGAATAAAGTGTTACACTTTAGAATATTTAAAACTAATATCAGCCATAGTTAACTTGTATATTAGTAGCGGTAAGTGGAATCAATACTCATAATTAAATAATTCTCTTAAAAACTTATATAGCAGTGTTTCTCAAACATTTAGGACTCACAGATTGCATGCATGAAACAAAAAGAGAAGAAGAAAACTGTGTCGTAAATGCAGTAACAATAACATACACACGTGACTATCAATAATGCACTGATCATTTTAAATTAATTAATAATTATAGATAAACATACCGTATTTACTCACAGATTTCTCCCCCTCGCGTATTCCTCCCCCCTAGTTTTGTTTCAGCATGATGATTTAGAAATTTCTCGTTTATAGTAACAATGTACAAAGCGTGCACAAATAAAGTATTTTGTGTAAGTAAAATTATTATTACTGAATCTGGAAAGTTCTTTGGAATATATAATATAATTAAATTACAGTGTCTTTATGTGTGCTTTTTAATGTACTATGCTTCTACTAAAGTGGAGTTTACAAAAACAATGTACACATATATTTTCCCCTACCTGTTTTCAAGCGGTAAAATTAATAGGAAGAGGGGAAAACGCGAGTAAATGCAGTACACGACAATAATAAATACAGCACTTCAGAACCTTTAGCGTTATCAATAATTGCCTTCCGATCTACACTTTGGGAACCATTGCAACATAATACTTAGACTATGCTATGCAGAATAGCAACTCATTTTCTTATTTCTATTATTACCATTTCTATTATTATGATTTTTAAATCCTTAATTTTGCTTGCTCGTTTTCATTGTTATTATTCCATTCATGACGATTTTATATTTCTATCAGGTTAAATTTATAAGAAATAATTAAAACAAACCTTTCTAGCTATATGTATAAAAACATTTTTCGTTTCAAAAAAATTTCTATACATATACATTAGAGTTTATACAGACAAAGATACATTTATTTTCAATAAAGAACGAATATTCATGTCCGAAACTATGTTCAGTTATTGCGTTACATTTCGCCTATCAATGACCGAGCAGGTAAGGCCAAGGTCAATAGACAAACAAGGTTAGACTCTTCACGACGATGATGTCACTTACTTATACAAGTGGAAGAAATGAAGATATAAAGTAGGGGTTGCTTTTGAGCAGTCTAAAAGTCAATTACGTCACAAGACCTTGTAGTACCTTGTAGTATACCGCTAATATTATCCTTGGATAAGACCTCTGAATACAGATAGTTTTTATCTATGTTTACGTTACTGCATGATTGTTTTCGTGGTTTTATGGTAATCTCCAATTTAATGTGAATTGCAGCAGGTTTTTCTTCGAAAGTCCTCTAAAGGCAATCCTCCCCCTAACTGGGCATGACCCCATAATTTTCTACTTGTATCGTTTTAGCCTCAGAAATAATGACTTTTTCACCTGCGGTAGTGTCGGCGAAACAGATCACTATTCGTTCGACTGCCTGTATACCAAAATTTATCATTTGAAAAGACCCTTTATGACTTACGAACATGGGTCAGGAACACCAGAAGAAGAAGGAAAAAATAACCACCTCTTGCATAAGACATCGTACTGCCATTGCTAAAAATATAACTGACAGCCTAGAATAATTCTCAGTTACTTTCCTTCTCTAGCCCCTCCCCAAAAATGTACAAAGTATGTACATTTGTATTATTCTTATGTATTTTCCCCCCTCTTCGTATGGAGTATTATCTTGTATTTTCTATGCCTATCCTTACTATAAGTAATATATAGTACATAATTTTAAGATTTATATAATTACACAAAAAGGTATAGCTTTGTTGTATGATTTATCTCTATGAATATACTTCTCGTGTTAATACTGTACTAATACGTCGTTCTATTACAGAAATATATTACATTATATATAATTCTATGACTTGCTTTTAACTGTTTTCATATGGAAATAACCATAAAAATATTATCACGTCCACATTTCATTACTGTGTATTCTGTTACAATTTATGTCTTTATAATGTCCTGTGTATGTTGTATTAATACTTTGTTTCTATCTGTACATGCACACAACTGAGCTGCCTGATCATACTGCAAGTTCTCCTTTCCTGTTAGACCTCTTACCATTAAACGGCCGGCAAGTTTCAATCTTCAGATATACGTATTTAGTTTGCATCCCACGGACAGACCTAACGGATATGGAACAAGCGTAAGATAGTTTCTATAATGGGGCTCTTGGCCGAAAAAGCTAACTAAGCCCATTGGACTCAGTATAAGCGGAAAAGAAAAGAAAGTCCTGAGCTGTTTTGGAGCAGTCACAACAGAACATTCGAATACAGTACTTTTCAACATTCTTGTATTACAATTTATTTAACGTAAACTTCAATTTAATGGGCAAAACATATTATTTCTAATATAAGCATGTGCGACAGGTTAATATGGATATTTACACCACTACGCGCATCGGACAGGCAGCGTGTAAGCTTCGTTCCCAATTGTATTCACCCCGGACTTGGCTACAGAAACTGAATTCGGAGAAAAGAAGCAAATTCGGGCGCTTTTCACACAAACAGAACAAATGAAGCCATCCATTGTTATCATTCCCAGTCCGAACATTCCCCGCAGAGGAGGATAAAACGTATTCCTGGATCTACGTTCGGTTAATATGACGACATTCATGAAAAAAAGGAACTGCCCCGAAAACACAACCCAGGTAGCGAGTACGCGGCGGTTCCTCTTTTCTCTTCACCATCACCACCACCACAGCCGTCTTTTGTGGAGTTGTCGGTCCCGGGGAGGTGCCGATAAATCGATGAAAACCCATTAAGTGTAACAAACCTATTAGCTGGATGGCTGCCGACGAAATTAATGAAATTAGATAATGGATTTTTGGGATTTACAACGTGGTCCGCTGACACTAACATGATTTGTTGCTCGCCTGGAAACGCACTCTTACGGCCTTTTCTCATTTTCTCTCTCTCTCTTCTCCTTTTCCTACACCCCCGCGCTCTCTCCTTTCATTCGCTTTATATATATAAGGCAGAGGCGGGTGGGGGGACGGCAAATTACGTTAAGATGGAAGCCCTCCCACCGCGGGATATGATTCTGAGCGGGATTTTTAATTTTTTTAATGGACTCCTACAGGTTCCTTCCCTCTTCAGCTCTCTTTTTAACGGCCTCCTGCAAGAAATAAAGAGAAATGGAACAATTTAGAAATGGGATGGTAAATAATAAAAGAGAATATGGGAATGGGGGAAGGGTGAAGTTCTCCTACCCCCCCAGCAACCGATGGCTTTAGGGCTCGCACTCTATGTCGATATTTACGTAATGGATTCGGAAGCAGTCGAAGCAGGAGAGAGTAGTAATGTTTTAAGCCTAATCAGAAACTGGAGTGCATCGCATTAATTGGAGAACACTGAATCGTTTGCATCGAGGAATGACTTATTGCAGATGGATATCCCTCAGCGGCACGTTTCACCTGCGAAGGGAAATGGCAATAAATAAAAAACAGAAGCATAATGGTAACTGTAATCGTAATTCTATGAGGTGATCCAGTGCTGCCCCACCTCTGATTATGGAAGCGATGAAAATATTGATTAATGAACAAATATGTGAGAAGGAATCACAGTACGAATTACGTTCAATCCGAAAGAGCAAGCTGAAATAGCACAAGGATATGCAATACTAAACATAGCTATATTCTGAAAACTAAAAGGTGATATCCTTTGATGATAAGATCGATTGTCGGGGCTACATAAAAAAGTAATATTCGATCTAATTTACACTCACAATCTAATAACTGGAACTTTAGAAGTCACTCTTCATCGTAAATATACTTTTCATTCGATTTAATTTCAAGAAACTATACCTAAACTGTCTGGATAAAACGGCTCTACGAAAACCAATGAAGCGTTTTTTTTTTTTTTTTTTTTTTTTTTTTTTTTTTCCCACGCACATAAAAGTGATAAATATGCATCTCGGTACAATATAACGTTAGCACAGCCACAAGTTGCGTGGACAATGGATCAGGGCAAGAAAATGACGACGGTTGTTTGGCACGTAAATTCCAAAGCATGATATAGGACTCTGGTTACATCGCGTTTAACATTCTTCATAAATTGCAATATTTAATATGAACTTAACTACAAATCGCTC